TTCTTCAGAAAATTTTCTGAAGAAGGGTCTAGGCCCGAAGCGTCAGCTTTCCTGCTCCTCTGATGCTGCTTGGCCTGCTGTGTTCATCCAGCTCTACACCTTGTTATCTCAGATTCTCCAGCACCTGCAGTTCCTACTATCTCTGAAACAAAGATTTCTGTTACTGATTCTGATCATTCTAGTAAGTTGTGATCCGGAACTTAGGGAAACAAGCTCATAGTTTAGAAATAACTGGGTTAGTCAGAAATCAGTTGAGTAGTCAGTAAGGATATTCCCATTTCTGAAGAAGAGCTATACCAAATTTGAAACCTTAACTCTGCTCCTGTCTCTACAGATGCTGTCAGCCTGCTGAGGTTTTCCAGCATTCCGAATTTGTTTTGAATTTCCAGCATCCACAATATTTTGCTTTAAAAGGATATTTCCTTCTCCATGCTGAGAGATTTGTAAGAAATTGCCATCTAATACATTAATAGAATCTGAAGAAAGCGATTGAATATCACAGGAATAGCTCCCTCTGTCACTTGTGAAGAAGGTTTCTTATATCGACAAACTCTTGATTGTGCAGGCTTATTAGTCTTCCAAGGACGAGCCTCTCACTCACACCCTGACATAAGAAATTTTATACAGTGGGGGATCTAGCATAAGTTAAACAGGATGCCCCAGCAAACAAATTACTCCATGGACTTCTGATGGGAAGAGGAGGGATTCTCTCTAGTGAATTGACAATAAATGATTGACATAAGACTCACAAAAGTAAACTAAATAAACAGGAAAGAGGGAAAATTCACACAGGAAAGAACCTTGCACTGGAGGTCAGCTTCATCTTTCCATACGTCCAAAGCAGGTTATTCCAAGGAGGCCACCATCTCCAACTGCAGAGATCAGCATCTACCTGATCTGGGAATAGGAAACTATTCTGTTGAGACTTCTGCTTCCAGTCCCAGAGATCTGTGCCCTCTTACTTGCCCCCATAAAATTGTCCAATCTGGGATTAATAAACCATTCTTACCTGTTATGGGTCATTTGTCTTTTCTGCTTGTTTAGATTATGTATCATATTGAACCTGTTGCTTCTTAATAAACTGCTTAAAAATCACCAATGATTATTGCTCTTTTTTGGGTAATCTGTGACTCCTAGACTAAACTTTTACATTCACTTACACTCGTGCAGAGGTGTAAGTGAATTTAATTAATTTATTGTATAATTTAAGGTGTTAGTTTACAGAATTAAAGAATTGCAACAATGCAGAATAAGGTCATTTGACCCATTATGTCTACACTGGCTTTTTTAGCTTTCAACTTAGTGTCAACTTCTTTTATTCATCCTTTATTGCCTATCCCTTGTTAATCTTGGGGTCACGGTGACCTCCGATGCATTTTTGAATTGCTGCAGTTCGTTTGGTTCAAGGAGACCCATCGTGCCATTTGGGAGGGATTCCAGGATTTTGACCCAGTGACACTGAAGGTACAGTAAAATGATTCTGATGTAGTTTGGTGGGAAAGAGAACTTGCAAATGGTGGTGTTCCTGTGTAGCCACTCTTGCCTTTCAAACAATAAGTGACTGTGGTTTTGAAAGTGTTGCCTAAGGACACTTGGTGAATTTATGCAGTGCATCCTGTAGTTGGTACACACTGCTGCTAGTGAGTGTCGGTGATGGAAGGATTGAATGTTTGGAGACATGGCACCACATGAGATTGCTCTGATCTGGATGGTGTCAAGTTTCTTGAGTATTGCTGGAGCTGCTCTCATCCAGGAAAGTGGGGGGTGTTCCATCACTCTTCTGATTTGTGCCTTTGGAAGTAAGGAAGTGAGTTGTTCACTGCAGGATTCCTGACCTTTGACCTGTTCCTGTAGCCACAATATTCATTTTGCGAATTCTGTTCATTTCTGGTCCATGGTAACCCCCAAGATGTGGACAATGGGGCACTTAGTAATGGTAATGCCATTGAATGTGGTTAGAATTCTGTTGGAAATGGTCATTGCCTGTCATTTTTATGGCACAAATATTATGTGCCACTTGTCAGCCAAGTCTCGATTCCATCCAGATCTTGCTACATTCAGACATGGACTGCTTCACTATCTGTGCCATCATGAGTGTTGCAGGACATTGTAAAATCATTAATGAACATCTCCAGATTTGACCTTATGGTAGATAGAATGGGATTGATAAAGCAGCTGAGGATGGTTGGGTGGAGGACACACCCTGAGGAATTCCTGCAGAGATCTCCTGGAGCTGAGATGATTGACTTCCAAGGGTAACCATTTGCCTTTGAGGCAGGTATGACTCCAACCAGCGGAGAATTTTCACTCTTATTGCAATTGACTCTAATTTTGCTCGGGCTCCTTGATACCAAACTTGGCCAAATGCAGTGTTTATGTCACATTCACTTCTGGAATTCAGCTGTTTTGTTCATGTTTGAAGCAAGGTTGCTAACTTGATCTCCTGTTTTTCCCCTGTAACCTTTAACATTAAATGTTTCCATTGAACTTATCTCCATCAGAACTCATTCACAGCAGCAGCAGGAGAGGAACGGAGCGAACCTGAGGGTCAATACCGGCAGTGGTTTTCAGATAAAAACCTGAGGAATGGTGTACAGATCAAACTCATTTGGAATAGCAGTGAGAGAGGAGCAGAGCGAGCCTGAATCCAGAGGGAGAGTTTCAGAAGTGACATCAGGGTTCAAAAAGTGAAGTACATCAAGAGGAGTTGCTGCTTGGACCAGCTTTAGGAACTGAGTGAGTAGTATCTGGGGGGAGACACCATGTATAATCCTTATTTTTAAAAACCAAAAGAACTGTGGATGCTGTAAATCAGGAACAAAAACAAAGTTGCTGGAAATGCTCAGCAGGTCTGGCAGCATCTGTGGAGCAGAAAACAGAGTTAATGTTTTGGGTCCGGTGACCCTTCCTCAGAGTTTTTAATCCTTATTTTTGTTGTTTGTAGTTTGTTACGAATAGTGATAGACAGAACCAGAGAGAGAAATCTGCTTTGGCGAGTAGTGGGTAAGGATGATTAATTGGTCCCTAGTCTATCGTCTGTAATTCATAAGGTTCACAGTGGCAGGAGAATTTGACCCCATGGAATGCTCCTCCTGCAATATGTGGGACACTTCCAGTAACCATGGTGACCACGTATATAGGAAGTGTGTTCAACGGCATCTCCTGACTGACCACGTGAAACAGCTGGAGCTGCTGATGTACTCACCATGGAGCATTCACGATACTGAGGATGTCACAATAGCACATTTAGCAAGCTGGTCATAGCACAAGTAAAGGCTACACAGGCAGAAAAGCATCGGGTGGCCACCAGGAAGAGTAGTAAGTGTGGGCTTGCAGTGTAGGAGTCCCCTGTGACCATTATTTTCTCACATATATTGTTTTGCAGGCTGCTTTTGGCGAGGGTTGGGGGTTGGCCTCAGGGAACGGCCAAGTTTCAGGCACCACAGTTGGCTCTGCTAAGAGCAGTAGGCCCTTCAAAATTGGAGAAGAGTGCTTAAAAAGGAAATTAGGAGAGCAAAGAAGGGCCACAAAATAACTGACAGATGTGATCAAGAAAACCTCATGGCTTTTTGTAAGTCTAGGGGTACTCATTATTTAGGAAGGACAGACAAAAAGGGAAAGGAGGTGTTGGTGTTGTATTGTTTATAAAGGAGGAAATCAGTGCAATAGTGATGGATACTGGCTTGGAAAATCTTGATGGAGAATCTGTATGGGTGGAGATAAAAAGAACTGAAGGACAAAAAAAATTGTTGGGGTTGTCTAAACGTTCCTAAACAATAGTGATGTAAGGGAAAGCATTAAAAAAGAATCAGAGATGCATGCAATAAATGTACAGTTATAATTATGGGTGACTTTAATTTACATATAGGTTGAACAAACCAAAATAGGAATGATGTTGTGGAGTAGAATTTTCTTGAAATGTGTACGTGTTGGTCTTTTAGACCAATATGTTGAACTAAATGTAGAACAGGCTATTCTAGACTGAGTACATTGCAGTGAGTAAGGATCAATTAACAATCTTGTTGTGCAGCATCCCATGGGGAAGAATAGCCATAATATGACCAGAAATTATCATTGAGTTGAAGTAACTGAATGTGAAATTACTAAAAGATTCACTGTGGCCATTGGTTAATTTTTAAATAATGTGTACATGAATTACAACATTAATTAATTCCTATCTGGCAGGAAAAGGATAAGAAAGGTGGCTAAACCACAGCCTGTAAAAAAAAAAAGAGGGATTATATTAGATCCAAAGAGGTGACATAAAATTGTGATAAAATGCAGTAAGCCTGAGGATTGGGAGTATTTTAGAACTCAGCAAAAGGGGACAAAAACGTTTGATCAAAAGGGGGAAAATAGAGTATGAGAGTAAAATTGTAGTAAACATAAAAAAACTGTGTAAAAGCTTTTAGAAGCATGAAAAGAGAAAATGATAAGTAAAGACAAGTGTAGGTTTCTACAGTCAGAAGCTGGAGAAATTGAGGTGGGGAACGAAGAAATGGCAGAAGAATTGAACACATACTTTGACTTCACAAATGAGGGCCTCCCATTTATTCTAGGGAACAAATGGTCCAGTTAGAGGGAGGAAGGGAAGGACATCAGTATTAGAAAGAAAATAGTGCTAGGGAGATTAATAGGGTTAAGGCTGACAAATCACCAGGACTTGATAATCTACATCCCAGAGTGTTAAAGGAAGTGGCTTGGGTATTATTGGATGCATTTGTGGGTATTCTTTAAAATCTCAAGACTCTGGAACAGTTCCTACAAATTGAAGGGTGGCAAATGTAACCCCACTATTTAAGCAAAAGGAGGGACAGAAAAAGCAGAGAATTACAGACGTTGTCTGGGCTGAAGATTTTTAGCTATGAAGAGAAATTGGGTAGGCTGGGGAGGTTTTATTTGAAGCAGAAGAGTCTGAAAGGGGACTTCATCAAGTTGTATACAATTATGAGGGGCATAGATAAGGTAGACAGGAAGGAGCTTTTCCCTTTGATGGAGGGATCAATGACCAATGGGCATATTTTGAAGGTAAGGGGCAGAAGATTCAGAGGGAATGTTATGAATGTTTTTTTTTCCACCCAGAGAGTGGTGGGAATCTGTAAGGGTGGTAGAGACACAGACCTTTGTAACATTTTAATAAGTATTTAGATGTGCTCCAGTGATGCCAAGAGATACAAGGCTATTGGCCAAATTTTGGAAAATTGCATTAGAATAGTTAGGTGCTTGTTTTTGATTGGAGCAGACTTGCTGGACAAAAGAGCCTTTTTCTGTACTATGGATGTCTATGACTCTAAGTTGTGCTTTGAAAGGGGATGAAGGAAGGTAAAAGAGAAACTTAAAAAAAGTTTAGGTCTGGGGCAGGGGAGAAGTTTAAAGGTAGTGTGGCCCAGTGGCTCGTGGGATAGGTGAGAAGTAGATCACATTTTTCTAATCTTAGTGACAAAGAAGCTCCTTGAACTGTTCAGAGATAGTAGGAACTGCAGATGCTGGAGAATCCGAGACAACAAGGTGCAGGGCTGGATGAACACAGCAGGCCAAGCAGCATCATTGGAGCAGAGAGGCTGACGTTTCGGGCCGAGACCCTTCATCAGAAAAGGGGGAGGGGAAGGGGGTTCTGAAATAAATAGGGAGAGAGTGGGAGGCGGATAGAAGATGGATAGAGGAGAGGATAGGTGGAGAGGAAACAAACAGGTCGAAGAGGCGGGGATGGGGCCAGTAAAGATGAGTGTAGGTGGGGAGTTAGGGAGGGGATAGGTCAGTCCAGGGAGGACGGACAGGTCAAGGAGGCGGGATGAGGTTAGTCGGTAGGAGATGGAAGTGCGGCTTGAGGTGGGAGGAGGGGATAGGTGGGAGGAAGCACAGGTTAGGGAGGCAGGGACGAGCTGGACTGGTTTTGGGATGCGGTAGGGGGAGGGGAGATTTTGAAACTTGTGAAATCCACATTGATACCATTGGGCTGCAGGGTTCCCAAGCGGAATATGAGTTGCTGTTCCTGCAACCTTTCGGGTGGCATCGTTGTGGCACTGCAGGAGGCCCAGGACGGACATGTCGTCTGAGGAATGGGAGGGGGAGTTGAAATGGTTCGCGACCCTTATCTGCTTTCCGGAGGGACCACTCTCTCCGTGACTGCCTTGTCCGCTCCACACTCCCCTCCAGCTGCACCACACCCGGCACTTTTCCCTGCAACCGCAGGAAGTGCGACACCTGCCCCCATACCTCCTCCCTCACCCCCATCCCAGGCCCCAAGAAGACTTTCCACATCAAGCAGATGTTCACCTGCACATCTGCCAATGTGGTATACTGCATCCGCTGTACCCGGTGTGGCATCCTCTACATCGGGGAAACCAAGCGGAGGCTCGGGGACCGCTTTGCAGAACACCTACGCTTGGTTTGCAATAAACAACTGCACCTCCCAGTCGCGAACCATTTCAACTCCCCCTCTCATTCCTCAGACGACATGTCCATCCTGGGCCTCCTGCAGTGCCACAACGATGCTACCCGAAGGTTGCAGGAACAGCAACTCATATTCCGCTTGGGAACCCTGCAGCCCAATGGTATCAATGTGGATTTCACAAGTTTCAAAATCTCCCCTCCGCTACCGCATCCCAAAACCAGTCCAGCTCGTCCCTGCCTCCCTAACCTGTTCTTCCTCCCACCTATCCCCTCCTCCCACCTCAAGCCGCACCTCCATCTCCTACCGACTAACCTCATCCCGCCCCCTTGACCTGTCTGTCCTCCCTGGACTGACCTATCCCCTCCCTAACTCCCCACCTACACTCACCTTTACTGGCCCCATCCCCGCCTCTTTGACCTGTTTGTTTCCTCTCCACCTATCCTCTCCTCTATCCATCTTCTATCCGCCTCCCACTCTCTCCCTATTTATTTCAGAACCCCCTTCCCCTCCCCCTTTTCTGATGAAGGGTTTCGGCCCGAAACGTCAGCCTCTCTGCTCCTATGATGCTGCTTGGCCTGCTGTGTTCATCCAGCCCTGCACCTTGAACTGTTCACACTTGTTGTCAGAGGCGATGATAAAGGAGACAGGGAGAGGGAGAGCCCTTCAACAGGAACTAAATTGTTTTAGAGATATTACAAAGATTCACCACACTGTGTTTATTTGGCTTTCATCCAGAATTTTAACATCTATAACTTTGCTGGGGCTTTATCAAAACTAGCAGGAACAAACCCTAATGATACTTCTGTCTGGGATGTGATTAACAGCGAAAGTCCAATCATTGTAATATCTTGTGAATTTGTTGGTATCTCAGGAGGGTAGATGAATAATCAAATCTTTTCCCAAACTCAGAGTAGGTGAATGGCTTCTCCCCTGTGTGAATTTGTTGGTGCCTCAGAAGGGTATATGTCTGGTTGAATGATGTCTTGGGGAAGGTGAATGATCTCTCCTTCCATATAAGAGCATTGTGAGCTCAGATGATTGCTTGAACCCAATCCACAGTGACAGCACCTGAACAGTCTCTTGTCAGTATAAACGTGTTGATGGGTATAGAAATTTCCTCAACTCAAATATTGCAAAGACTAAAACCATTGTCTTCAGTCCCTGGTCACTGACTCTGTCTGTCTCCTTAACAAGTGTCCCAGGCCGAATCAACTGTGTCGTATGCTTGGGGGTCTTATCTGATCTCCATCTAAGCTTCTGTTCATATATCTGTACCATCTCCCCGAGCACCTGTTCTTTCTCAATAACAGCACTATCTTTGTCTCGGAATTCACCTGCTTCT